TGGAGTTTTCGTACAACAACAGTTTCCATGCTAGCCTGAGCATGGCACCCTACGAGGTGTTGTATGGTAGGAGGTGTCGGACTCCTACCTGCTGGTCTGAGGTTGGAGACAAGGAGCTGTTTGGCTTATACTTTGTCCAAGATACTACCCTGCAGATCCAGTTGATCAGGGGAAAGTTGAAGCACACGCAGAATCGCCAGAAGAGTTACTACGATGTCAAGCATCGTCCACTGGAGTACAGTGAGGGTGAGAACGTGTTTGTGAGACTTTCACCTGTCACCGGTGTTGGTCGGGCACTCGAAGTAAGGAAGCTTAGCCCGAGATTCACTGGGCCATACCAGATCCTTGGTAGAGTAGGACCTATTGCCTACCGGCTTGCCTTGCCTCCGAACTTGGCCAACATCCACGACGTGTTTCAGCTTCGGAAGTACGTAGCAGTGGACAGAAGAAGAAGTTGAGGAGCAAGATCATTCCGATGGTCAAAGTGCAGTGGAAAGGAAGAACTCTTGAGGAGTGTACTGTTGCGACTCGACAAGTGCACCGATCGTGAAAGTAATAAAGTGTACCGGAGTACGAGATCGTTCCCACGAGGATCAGAATCTTCAAGCACTAGTTCGCTAATCACGTCTTAGTTGGACAATCAAAAGTTTGGTTTGAGAGAATGGTTTGTTCAAAGAACTTAAAATTAAAAACAAGTAAGAGCATGCAATCAAGAAAATTCAGAATTTAAAGAATGAATGATGATGATGTTTGATTAAGAATTTAGAAAGCATAGTTAAGGTTTCGACTTCCCCTAATATCCTCAATATGTTGTGAATTAAATAATCAAGAATCTGTTTCTTAATATATTGCCAATCAATTCTATCCAAGTTAATTACGGCTCAATTCCTTGTTACCATAAATCTATGTAATCTTGAAAGAACTCTAGTTCCCCGATTATTCCCCAAGAAAACAGGCATTAAGATCAAGAATTTCAAGATTGCATAATTACCCTATTTCTATCCCTAGATCACAAGGATTATGATAAATTATCAAGTCAGGGTTCATGCACCAACATCCCTATTGTCATACAATTCTCCAAAATTATTCTATAAGGAACAAACTCATAGAAAGCATTAAAAACAGATAATTTATTCAATTATAAAAAGAACAGGATTCAGAGACAATTTAATGCATAAACATAAAGATTCAATTGGGTTCCATCTACCCTTAACTACATAAAAGACTACTCTAGCATACTGAATTGAAAAACAATAATAAAGAAAAGAGAACCCCAAGCATCCATTGGTGTGATGTTAACTTGGTTCCTCAGTGTTCCAGCGCTCCGCAACAGGATTCCTCCTTCAGTCTTGGTGTCTGGATGAGTACGTGAATTGGTTTCTGAATTCGTGTTTTGGTCTGATCCCAAGGTCCTTATTTATAACTATTGGAGTTGTATCCGTCATTAAATCTCCCAATGAATCCGTATCAGATTTGTGATTGAATTTCATCTTTGTTTCCTTTTTGCATTTGATATCTTGGAGATTGGTTGACGATTTTGAACTTTGAATCCTCGTTGTGATCTTCCATCACATCTTCCTATTGGAGTTATATCTTATCTCAATCAAAGTTGATGTGTTTCCTCTTTGTATCTTTATAGAATCCGCTGCATATCTTGATCAAATCTTCCCTGGAGTTAGCTTTGGCCGTGCATGGACGTTTTGGCGTTCATCAATACGCCAAAACGTCCTCCTAGTGTATTTTTCTCTGCCTCTGGGCGTTTTGGCGTGCTGATGAACGCCAAAACATCCTCTTCGAAGGATGTTTTCATGTTGTGTGAGCGTTTTGGCGTGCTGATGAACGCCAAAACATCCTCTTCGAAGGATGTTTTCATGTTGTGTGAGCGTTTTGGCGTGCAGTTTTTCCGCCAAAACGTCCTGGTCCAGGGAGTTTTTGCTATTTTCTTCATCTTGAGCATTTAAACTTGCTTCATGGACGCCAAAACGTCCTCTTACAGCTAATTAAGAGGTCTTCAACTCAACTTGATGTCTTCTTTTGGTTCCAAAATGCCATAATAGGTGTCAAAAACCCTTGAAATCAGAATTATGACATGTTAGCAAGATATTCACTTATTGTGACTTTTCGATATAAAACCCTAATTAACAGGCAATTCATGATATATATATATATATATCAATCATAATTAAGCCTAAAAATATGGTAAACCAAGGGTTTATCATGTACTTGGGAGCGAGAGGACGAGCTTCTCCGGCAGTATCCCGACTTCCGAGACAAGTATATTTTGATTTTGAGGGCAAAATCCTAAAAAGGTGGGGTGAATGTAAGAACCTGCACCGTTAATTAAGGAAGTTAATTAATTAATTATGAGAAATTAGGAAATAATTCTGTAATTGACCCTAATAATTATGATAAGGCTTGATTAATTATGGTAAGTAATTAATAATGCTGAAAGTCGCTTTTCGAACGAAAAGTGCAGATACCGGTTCTGCTGCTCGGTATAAATGCGTACCGATGCAGTATCCCAAAAAATTATGAAAAGTGTGTATATGTCACTAGAATAATATATAGGACTTGTAAAACAAGTTTCAAGTTGAAATAATGAGAACTGGTGTCAGAACTGATACTGGCTATGGAAAAACGCATACCGAAAAGGTACCGCGAAAAATAAAATGAAAATATGATAAATCTTAGAAAAATGAGTAGGTTCAGAATCCTAAGTGTGGAATTAAAATGCTAAGCGTAGCTATTATGGTTAATACAGTGTGATTACACTTAATTGGGCCTATAAATAGACTTGGCACTAAGCCCTAGGCTGATCCTCAGCATTCTCCAGCCTCTTCTACGTGAGTTCTTGTGTGTGAGCTGCTGCCACCCTTCTCCTTGGTCACCTTTGCATGAGAAAACCTCCAAGCCACCTCCTTTCTTTGATTTCTTCACCTCTAAACAAGTAAACACTTGGGTGTGAGCATTGGTGAGGGTGAAAGGTGTCATCTTTTGAGTTGAGGGTGCTGTCTTGTGTGAAGGTGTGGGGCTGAGTTCTTGGGTTGTGTTGTTGGAGCCTTGTCTTGGTTGTGGGAGCTTCAAGTGGTGACCTTTGTGAAGAAAGGACCCACCTTGAAGTGCTTTTTCGTGGCCCTTTGGTTGCTGCTATGTGGAGTAGCATTAGAATCTCCAAATCACTGCCTTTTTCTATTTTGAGAGCTTGGTAAACATACTCAACCTTTGATCATGAGTTTTGATGGTTAAAAATGGAACCTTGATGCATGTAATGAACTAAAGTTAATAACTTGTGGTTGGGTAAGGTTAAACACACCTTAAAATGCATGTTTAAGCTTATGTAATCGGTAAAAGTCGAACCTTTTGATTGATATCTCGCGAAATACAGAATCTGAGTTCTGCCGCAAAGTATCCGGATATTGGGTTAGAAATATCCGGATATGGATATCCGGATATGGATATCCGGATATGGGGTTCTGAATATCTAAATATTGATACCCGGATATTGCCAGACAGATATCTGGATATTGATATCCGGATATGCCCCCGACAAATATCCGGATATTCTGGATTTGCGTGAACAGTAATGGTACTGTTCATACAGATTGGTATTTGGGGTTTGTGAACCCTAGATTGATGAAATGAGACTTCTGTAATAACTTATCTAAGTCAGGTTCAAGGGAGTAAGGGCTTGTGGCTTTGTGAGAAGCCTTAAGACATGAAACGTAAAAGAGAAGCGTTGTCTTTATGTATATGCTTATGAGCTATGGTTGTTGATATTATTGCTGGTCCAAAACAGATTGTGATTCTACTGTGTGTGGACTTTGAGCTTCTGTGGACTCTTGGTTTGGATAGTTAGCTTGCAAGGTAAGCTTTCGTGTCCTCGGTTTAGCCATTGTTTGTTCTACCATATCCCATGGGGGGATGGTTTATATGTATGATGTGTTTTCATGTACTGTTTTATTGAAATGATATTGAACTGTTAAGTGCAAAATGCTTATGATATGTATGTGGTGTTTCGCCTAGACATGAAGCCATGGGGTGGTCCTGTGGGCGGTACAGCATGGGCGTGTACTGTGTGGGTAATAGACGTATTCCTGCACTTCTCTGATCAGTAGAATAGTTATAACACACATGACATGATTATCTGCTGCATTGCACTAATTTTGGAACTGATATTGAATTACTGCTTTTAGAACTTATATTGCACATGTAAGTGAGCTTGAGGTGGAAGATCCTTGAGGACCCCTTGTCTTACTGAGATTTCTGTTTAGAGATCTCACCCCACGTTTGGGGCACATATTTCAGGTTCAGGTAATGCGGGGGTTGAGACCTCTAGCGGCAAGAGGCCGGAGCTTAGCTAATATTTCTGCTTATGCTGTTTATGTTTGGATGCTAGATGATATTTGTTGTTATCATGTTATTAGTTTCATGTTATGGATCTTTGAGCTGAGACTCTGTCGATTATGTTGTTATTTGGTGAGCATGGGGATTGTCCATGCCACATTGACTTGACTTTATGTTTTTAGTTTGGAGTTGTATTAATGTATCAGGATATTGTCTGGACTACGTGTTGTAGATCCGTGACTTAGATACTCACACTTATCTATATATTGAGGTATTTCAGTTAGCTGTCTTTTGCAATTTACATTCAGGCGATGTTTTTATGAAAATGATTAAGTAATCAACTTGGCTAAGTATAATGACCTCATAATTGAAAGTAAAAAATTATTCCGTATTATTTTATTAAGTGTGGCTTAATACGATGACATGTTAACAAATCAGGCATGTGCGTGGTGTTACATTTTGCCTCATGCGAGGGAGGGACGTGGATTGGGTAAGTGGCGATGACGTATTGACCCCGAGACGTATGGGATACTGGCACCCACTCCTCGTGTGGAGTTGTATATAGACCACCTAGATATCCTAGTGAGGAGTACACTCCTATTACATATTATCCACAGTAGATGTTGCATATAGAGCCACATATGCCATTTAGTTACCCATCTTAGTCAGAACATCCTTTTCTATATCACTATTTACCACGGATGAGTAGTCAATACGAGCAGACACAGGGTTTGCAAGGTTCTCAAGGTCTTTATTGTGCCAACCTGCTGCATTCATTTCATTACGTTGATGACTAGGGTCACGAGTTTACTGGTTTTCACAGTTATCAAGACGAACAACTTAGTGCTACTATGAAGGATAGGCGTACCCATGTAGATATATATGAGTTGGGAGGTTACATTCTGGACAATCCGATGCAGGATACGCCGAACCTATATCAGGCATTATAAGACACTCGTGATGATGATGATAAGGCCACCATAAAAGTATTCAAACAGGCAGCTGCATATGAGTTTGAGTTTAGGTTGGACCCTCCAGTCTAGTGAGGTCGTGGCATAAGCAAAAACCCTGATTGGGGTGCGCGTCAGAGGCATTGGCATCCACCATCATACAATATGTTGCTTATTTCATCTCATTTTTCATTTTACTTAGACATCATCTTGCACCATGGATGATTGTATTTATCGAATACTTCTTGGGACGCTACATATTAATTATCATATATTTAGTTCATAAAAAAAAATAACAAGAAGACATAATTATATTAATATGGGTTGCCCGAGACTCGAACCCGAAATAACATATATTAAATTCAACACAATCTAACGTTACAACAACTTAATTGGACAGACGCGTTGTGGGACATGAGTGTCTATATAACCAAATTGTTTACATATTCTAGATTTAGTTCGGTTAGAACTAGGTTCGACCTCATTCATTTCATTACACATGCGAGTTGATTTTTGGTCACCCATTTGCACGCATCCTTTTCTAATCATGGATTACCTTTGGTCCTGACGCTGGTGGTATTGCTTCTCCACTTTTGATTGGCAACCAATGTGGGGAGTAAACATGCATAACATTCAAAAATGAGAATGTTTGATCCACGTACTAGTCAACGTCATAGGCTACATTCTAACCCACAACAATTACATGGCTACATGAAAATTTGAATACCTGGAATTTTTCGTATTGGCATTTCCTCTCTGTCAAGTTAACCTAAAATGTATTGCCATCTTCATCAACTTCAAACAATGTTTATGTAGCATCATACTTTTGAACACAATGTGAAGTAGCCATATCTTTATTCTAATTCATGGTACTACTAATAACACTGCAGAAATACATCTTGTTCTGCACATCTATATTGATTTTGAACCTTCTCTTGACGAAGTAGTAAACTAGTCTACAATATGCGCACTTGATTAAAGTAACGATTGGCATGTTCCTCGCTCGTTTGAAAACTCTATTGACTGCCATATCAATAAGAGTTTTCCATTTATATTCTCTAATTAACATTTAATATTTTTCTACACTCTTGATTTCCCTAATTTTATTTTTCTTAAAAACATTATATGATGAGTTTGTTTTCATTCTTCCTTCCCCCAATATTACTACTCATATGATGGTCACTTGCATATTCATATCTATCTACAAACAGAATTTGTATATACACTTGGATTTTTCATTCTTTTTTTATAGCCATCCATGAATTATATAAAAGGTTTCAGAGGTGGAAGATAAAAAGAACAGAAAGAATTGATATGAAGCTTTTAATTGGCAAAGATGTTTGGATCTTGAGAGTACATATGAAATGCTTCACCAAACGTAAGACCAACCCTTGGAACCGATGGAAGTGGCAAATCCTAAAGTTTGGAGGTGAGGGATTGAAACAGTTAATTGAACAGAACAATGAAGAGAAAAATAAAAAAAAGCAAATAAAAGGCTCCACCTTCTGAATGCAGGAAGATCTTACAAGAGAGTCTTTGGCAAGGGTGAAGATCTGAATGATAGAAAAACCGTATCTAGTGTAGGGCAACAATCTGCTCTCAAAGATCTTTCTTCTCAAGTCACTGATCCTTATTTCTTTATATATCACTTTCAGTAATTTCGCTTCCTCTCTATGTGATCATAATAAAAGCTTCTTCTGGTGTAGTTCGTGGTTAGTGGTGGTGATACAACATGTGTATGCCCTTCAAGAACTGGTGAACACAAATCTGCAAACCTTGGCCTCTCACTAATCACAACTCACACTATATTATTTACTTATTTTACATTTCCATGATGCAATAAAGCAAATTAGAGACACAAAGTAAATACATTTAACAGTTGCAGCACAAGTACTCTGTTCTGAAAATCTTCAGGAACCGTTGACATCAGAAAATTCTATCATGGCAACGCTGGAGCACTTTGGAAAAGAGAGTATCTGCTCCTTAACTTTCTCCAAGTCAATATCTGAATAACGCAGCCAAAAAGCTGTAGATATAGCAATCCTCTCCAAGATTGCTGCATATGCCATCACGAATTTTACCAGACAAAGCTCATGGTCATGCACATTAAATCCTTTAAACTGAAAAACTTTGAGGCTTGACATAAAGCAATGAGGCACTGATGCAGAAGTCAAGATATCTTTATTTAAGTCACATACTCCCTGAAATTTTTGTGTGTACAATGAGTCATCCATCATTCATTATTTTATATTATATATTAAACAAACCATAAAACAAGTATTTTGAATTTCTGTGAAGTAAAGCAAGAGGATCTAAACTTACATTAAGTAAAACAAGAGTATTAAGATTTGGGGAATTGTGGAGTATGTTCAACAGAGCTTCACCAGTAACCTCGTTTAGTTGCAGATAAGTCAACCTTCCAAAAACAGGTAGATTGGCGAAAATATCTTTAGCATGCATTATAACCTGTATGACAAGGAAGAAACTTGTTCAAATTCAGAGTCAAATTTTGTTTGTTTGGATGCAAGATAGCCAGAGCCAAAACAATGTACTAGTAAAAAATCAAGTAGTGAGGTTAAATGGTTTAGATGCTACATCAATCAGTTGTCCTAAAAAAAATGAGCAGTGTTGTTTATAGTGAAACACAAAGGTCCACCACTTAAACTAATCCCACTCTTAACAAACTCTCCTTTTAAGTTATTTTTTTTTTTTATATTAGCACCATGCTGCCCTTATAAAACATGTATTTTCAGACACGCTTTCTTATTATAAAACATGTTATGCAACCACAGGAAAATATACTATTCCACACATCAAAATATTTATTCACATATAATGAAAACAAAGCATACCTTGTAAAACAATAATTTCAATCGTTCCACTTCATGGATCTGTCTGAGAAGCATATGTGCTTGAAACCCAAGTTTTTCCATTCTGTTCTTTTTGTCTTCATCAATAACAATCACAACAGAAGCACTTCTAATTGATGATGGTTTTAATAGAATGATATCTTGTTCAAGATCACCCTCATAAGAGAAATCAGTTAGATGAGGACCAAAAATCTTGATGGAAGATTTACATGTTTCATTTGATTGGGAGTTCCATATTGCTATTGAAAATGTTTCAAGTAGAGGTGCCTGTATACTAATATTCTGCATAGTTGACCACTCACATCCCCTAGCTTCAAACACTTTGAGAACTGGGAAGCTAAGAATTATATCTTCTGAATAAGTGGAGGATTCACTCACTAACTTAATCCCAGAAATGCTAAGGTTTTGAAGATTTGGGAGAGAAGCAAAGATGGGAACACTAAGAGTGCATCTCATTTGAAGCACCAAATGTACTAGAGAGCTGCAGTTAAAGAGGGAATGGGAAGAAAGGACGACTTTATCAGCATACTGAATACGAAGCTTATGGACACCCTTTTCCAAGATAGTGGAAATCCATGCACTAACCTGTGATACATCATAATGATAACATGTTAAACAAAGAGAGAAACTTTGTATGCTTGAATCAACTAGGTGAAGAAGCACTCTGTTCACAAAATGCACAAATTGTTCTTGTTGCATCTTCTTCCCAGAACAAAGGGAACTATCATTAAACTGTAAACTGGTGATGGATTTCCAAACTTCAATCCACCTTCTTGATAATACACAAGTGTGAATTGCCTCCATAGTTGGAAGGAAACACAGGATGTGACCAAGAGTGATTTCATGTAACTCGCTAATAATGTCTTCAACATCAACCAGAGTTTGCTCACTGTGAAACTTTCTTGATGTTTCATGATTCTGAGTTGCAACACTCGAATCCATGACTACGAAGTACCTAATGCTCGATTTCTGACACTGCCAACTTTCATCAATCATATAAACACCAATCAATAATATTAAAAAGGAATAAAATAATTATAATTTCAAGCATGCATCATTTAGTTAAAATATAAATTCTTCTACGCAAAGTCAATGAGTATGAAGTATGTGCCAAAAAAAGTATTGAAAGAAGAGTATACAATTTGAAGCAGATGAATGAGGAAGTAAGACTCACCCGAATGTAGAAAGGCTAGAGCATCACAGAAAGTTCACACTTTTTGGACTGAAAAGAAAAAAGAAACATAAAAGACGGTCCTTTGAGTTCAGCTTTATTCATATGATTAATAAGAGACTTTAATTTATAATAAATTTATAAATTACACTAAATTTAAATAGTTAGATTTTAATCAAAAATGTACGATCAATTAAATTTAATGTAATTTATAAATAAAATATTTGTAATGTTGTGATAACTTAAGGAAATAGAAGGACCCTTTATCCTACCTACTTACATCCTAAGGTGGAGGAAGTGACACGTCCACGAGGGTCGTGACAATCATTCGAGCCCATCGAGGTGTTGGCACGAACCTGACAAGCTTCGCACATGCACACAATGAATGCCGAAGACTTTAAGTTGGCCTGCACAACGAAGGGTAGCCAAGTGACTTAGCTACCATTATTTTGTCAAAAGAAACAAGTAATATGAATTTCTGGTGTTGAAGAAGGGAAGAAAAAAACAAAATGTCACGTTTTGGAGACCTTCTTATGCCACGCGCAAAAGTATATAATCAATGTAAATTTAAAAATAAATTATTTAAGTAATATATATTTAAAGTTATTTTTCGAAATAATACAATCAGTTAGCAGAGAAGGAATGCATGATTATATATGGGAGTGTGTAACTATCATGTGTCGCAAATCAGATGAGTCGCGCACCCTCTATGAACGACTCACAAGATAAATGAATGATTAGTTGCGTTTGGGAGATGCAAATTACCGCATCGCACGATTAGGTGAGTTGCGCATACATTCCATGGACAATTAGTTACGCACACCCCATGAACAATTCGCGAAATCGTTCCACATGATACAATCCTGATCATCTGTTATTAAAAAGACATCACAGTTTAAGTGATTCTTTATATGACATCAGAGCAGCTTGAATGACCACAAGGTCTTTACATGGTTCTTTACAAAAGCACTTTTTCTTTTATACAATTATCACACACTTTAATCCCCATGTAAATATCAATTAATCTCAAAAATATTCTTGATGATAGCAGTGTTTTAAAACTCAGACTAGTCATCGATTCGGTCGAGATACTGGATCACTGATTCAATCGGGTTCAAAGTTCACTTATTAAAAAAATATAAACATATTTACTTATATTGAAAATTCACGTAAGAAAACTATCAATGAGGTTCAAAAAATAAATTGGTTCTCAATAATAGCAAACACTATATATTCCTAGGCTTCTAGCTCTAGACCATATCCTAACATTGGATTAAAATTGCAATGTAAGCTAAATGCACCTTTTGTGACTTGACATAACACAGATAAACTAAATCATGATAACAAATGGTAGGTATGAAATATACACTAAGAAAAAAATGTCAACCGTTAATATAAGACCATCAGTGTTTATTCTCACTTAACTTCTCGAGATCATTATAAAATGCAACTAAATTACATAAAAGAACATAACTAATCCAAAATATCTTCTTATTTTCACCTTATATTTTAATCATATTTACCACAAAATATGAGCATGATTTAATTCAAGAATTCTCAACAACAAAAAAATAAAAAATTTACCAAAAAAAGAAAAAGAGAAAAGAGAGTCAACTGATCTAGCCGGCGTCAACCGAGTTACCGAGTCTCGGAGGTCAACCGATCCAAACCAAGTTAACTGTAGAATCGATCCAAATGATCACTCGGATTGGGGGACCCAGCGAGTCACCGAGACCCGGGTCGACCCGGCTGATCTTAAAATATTGGATGATAGTAATTTATTATCATCAATTACTTTATGTTTGATTTTTTATTTTTGGCAAAATCATTTTTGAATTATTTTATGAAGATGAAAAAAAACAATTGTGTCTAATAATAATAAATTTAAAATTTTAAACTTTTAAATTAATTATTTTGCCGATCAGTATTGTGCCACATAGCACTATTCAATAAATTTTATTTAGAGGTATGTGCAACTGACACGATTGTGTCAGGTGGCACAACTTCCATGCTATAAAATTTTATTTCAGAAAATAATTTCAAATATACTTTATTTAAGTAATTTATTTTTAAAATTGCATTGATATTTTAATACTTAATCGATAAAAAAAGAATTATACAGGATTGTAAGGTTGTTTTAGTATTTGATTATTTTCCTTTTACAATAAATTTAAGTAATTAAAGTTTCCACAGCAAAAAAAAAAAGTAATTAAGTTTTTATTATATTTAAATTTAAAGCATGTCAAAAATTTTAATGAGAATTTATAATAAAACTTTTTCTATATATTATTGTATTAAAAAAACATAAAACCCATTTTGGATCCTTAATAAAAAATTCTCTCTTTCGTTCCTACAAAAAAAATATACCTATATTAATCTTTTTATAGACTAAATTGAGTCATCACTAAATTTCTGAGAGACCACATTTTCAAAAAACTGAAATTGTAGAAAGACTAAAAGTTATTTTTTGTTTGTAACGTACAAAAGTGGGTTCATATTTTTTGTTAGGAACCCAAAATATTTTTATTAAAAAAACCATATATATATATATATATATAATTATATATGTATAGGGCAAACTTTTTCTTATGCGTAAATGAATTTTTTTTCCTGCACTATTATAGTAAATCATGCCCCACTTTTTTCTTAATTTTTTTTTATAAAATGACGAAACCCATTATTTCTTTGTATCAGTAGGAAATTGGATAATTTTTAAAAAAAAAAGAAAAATAAATTTTATATATATATATATATATATCCCTTCTAGCAAAGGGTTATCCACGATCCAACCCAACTATAATTGTGTGGTTGATGTGTCTTTGTCAACTATAAATGCGTGCCTAGCAGCCGCTTGTTATTATCTTATTATTATAAACATTCTAATGCACTCAAATCATTGGGAATTGGAATCATTTATCAAATTGTAACCTACACACAACCGAAGTTATTTCTTAATAGAACATTTACTAGGTCTAGGTGCCTTCTTCGGCTCAAAGATCAAAGCGCTACATTTTCGAAAAATATATGTTAATATATCACACTTTCGCTGGCTTCACTTATGGGACTGCTTTTGACATATGGCAGGAATAGGAAGTTCCGTTGGTAGAGCCAGGCCGTCAGCAATACATAAACATGACGTATAAATTTTTTTCGAAAATGTGACGTATTGAGAAATCTTTTATAAAAAAACAAAATTTATCAAAACGTTTCAAAAGTATTCAAATTTTAAAAACAATTTTAAAGTATTTGTCATATATATATATATATATATATATATATATATGGAATAGGATCATTTGACACCAGTGTCAATTCTAAAGTTTGACACCTCATCTGAGAGCCGTTAGTTAAAAAAAGATCAATGGTGTCACATGCTTACAAATCAGAGTCGTTGATTTTTTTGATCTAACGGCTCTCAGATGAGGTGTCAAACTTCAAATTTGACACCGGTGTCAAAGGATCCTGCCCCTATATATATATATATATTGAGAAATCTACATACGCTTTATGTACAACAATGACAGGTGTATGATTATGATTCTCCATACTTAATGCTTTCATCATTTGTATAAGTATAATTTCTCACATTTAATATATATATATATATATATATATATATATATATATAGAGAGAGAGAAGGGTAGGATCTTATGACACTAGTGTCAAATTTAAAGTTGACTCCTCATTTGAGAACCGTCAGATCAAAAAAGATCAACAACTCTGATTAGTAAGTGTAACACCCCGTATATATCCGGTAGTGTTATCATTACATCGTATTAAGCGGTGCTTAATTAAAAATGCGGAATATTCTTTTTCTTTTCAATTATGACGTCATTATTAATTACCAACTTGATTACTTAATCAATTTCATAAAATATCGCCTGTATGTAAATTGCAATAAGACATCTACTGAAATACCTCAATATATAAATAAAGTGTGTATCTAAATCACGGCATTACATCTCGTAATCCGGACAATATCCTGATACATTATTACAACTCCCAAAAGACTCAAGACAAAACAATACTACGTGTCATGGACAATCCCCATGCTCACCAAATAAACAGCGTAAACAACAAGTCTTAACATAAAACTCCATAAACATGAACTGAAGCTATAAGCATATAAGCAGCTTACAAATCCAGCATCCAACATGTCAGCATAAATAACAGCAATATCTAACTCAGCTCCGGCCTCCTGCCGCCTGAGGTCTCAACATTACCTGATCCTGAAATAAGCATTCCCCAAACGTGGGGTGAGATCTCTAAACAAGAAATCTCAGTAAGGCAAGGGGTCCTCAAGGATCTTCCACCCCAAGCTCACTTACATGTGCAATATAAGTTCTAAAAGCATTTATATCATTATCAGTTCCAAAACTATGTAGTGCAACAGATATCTATGGCATGTGTGTAATCACTATTCTACTGGCCAGAGAAATGTAGGAATACGTCTATACCTACATGTAGTACAAGGAACACCGCTTGCACCTCACCCACAGCCTCACCCTATTGTATGTTCTACATACTCAGGCTTACCGTATAGGTGGAACACCTCCATGCATATCAACAAGGCACTAACATACAATAGCTCAACAGCATTTCCAAAACATCAAAAGCATGTAACACAGCATGCATATACCATACCCCCATGGGACATGGTGGAACCACAACATGGCTAAACCGAGGACACGAAATCTTACCTTGCAAGCTCACTATCCAATGCCAAGAGCCCTCACAGCTCAAGTCCAACACAGCAGATCACAATCTGATTTAGGACCAGCAAGTGTATCAACATACATAACTCAAAAGCATTAACATAAAGACTACGTTCTCCTTAACGATTTACGTCTTAAGGCTTCCAACAAAGCCACAAGCCCTTAATCACATGATTCTGACTTAGTCCATTAATTACAGAAGTTCAACTTCATCAATCTAGGGTCCACAAACCCCCAATAGCCTACTGTACACACAACACAGCTACTGTTCTACGAAGTCCCAGAATATCCAGATATTCCTCGGGTACATATCCGGATATGCAATATCTGGATATCCCACTGTGCATATCCGAATATCTAGAATCTCATATCCGGATACCATATCCGGATATTTCACGACAGAATGCAGAAACTGCATTTCGTGAAGATATCCTTCAAAGGTTGGGTTTATTCGATTTTAAACACTTAAACATGCATTTCTAGGTGTGTTTGACATTACCCAACGTTAAGTTATTATCTTTTAGCCTTAACATGCATCATGCTTCCATTTTTAAGCATAAAACTCATGATCAAAGGGTGGTACAACATACCAAGGCTCAAAACTCAGAACCAAGAGGCTCTTGGAGCTCACCAACAGTCCCTCAACCTCTGACTAGGACAGAACACGAAAATGTTAGCACAAGATGGTTCCTTTCTTCACAAAGGTAGATTCTTGAAGCTTCACAAACCAAGAAGAAGGTGGCTCTCAACCCACACCCCAACTCAGCACACTCCCTGACCAGAAACAGTGACTAAAACCCCAAGCAAGGCACCCTCACACCCTCACAAGATGATTCCCAAGTGTTTACAAGAAGAAAAGAGAAGGATCAATGCCAAAGGTCCCAACTTGGCTCAAGAGGAGGTGAAGGAGACCAATGGAACAATGCTCAAACAGCTGGTCAGCCTCTCTCACGAAGGAAATCTGGTATCTAGGGCAATGTGCCCTTAAATGAGTATATATAGCTACTTTCAAATAAAACACACAGTATTAACTTTAATTGTTACGCTTAGCATTTTAATCCCAAACTTAGAATTCTGAAACTACACATTTTTCCAAGAATTATCATATTTTTATAATATTTTTTTGAGCACCTTTCCGGTACGCGCTTTTCATAGCCAGTATCAGTTTCTGGCACCATTTCTCATTATTTGAACTTGAAACTCGTTTTAAAAGTCCTACATATTATTCTAGTAATTATCATGCACTTACATTAATTTTCCGGGATACTTTTTCGGTATGCATTTATACCGACTAGCAGAACCGGTATCTGCACTTTTCTTCCGAAAAGCGACTTTCAGCATTCTTAATCACTTACCATAATTATTAAAGCCTCTTAATAATTATTAGGGTCAATTATGGAATCATTTCCTATTTTCACATAATTAATTAATTAAATACCTTAATTAACTGTGCGGGTTCTTACATTCACCCCACCTTTTTAGGATTTTGACCTCAAAATCAGAAACATACCTGGTCGAAACTCGGGGTACTTCCGGAGAAGCTCGTCCTCACGCTCCCAAGTAAACTCCTATGGAGTTCTTCCAGTCCATTGTACCTTGACCATCGGAATGATCTTGCTCCTCAGCTGCTTCTCGCCACGATCGAGAATCTTTAGTGGTCCGACGGGAGTCTTCAGGTTCTCCCGAACCTCCACAACATCAGGCTGCACCACGTGCGACGGATCTGCCACGTACTTCTGAAGCTGAGACACGTGAAACACGTCGTGGATGTTAGTCAAGTTCGGAGGCAAGGCAAGCCGGTAGGCAACAGGTCCTACTCTACCAAGAATCGGGTATGGCCCAATATATTGCGGGCTCAACATGTCTCTAAAGATGAAAGGGCGAAACTCGATGCGAAGACTAAAGAATGCATTTACCTCGGCTCGTCGAGATGTGAGTTCGGGTTCCGACTTTGGGATCTAATCAATAAGAAGGTAGTGAGAAGCAGGGATATAGTCTTTCATGCGAACGAGACTATTCAAGACATCTAGAAGCCCAAAGTTCGGGTTACTGTCAGATGTGAAGAACCCATCCCTCTTGTCCGAGCTAAAACAGGGGAGAAAATAAAAAATAATGAAGAAAATGATAAGATTGACCAAGGTATTGAAAACAAAGGTCCTGAGGACCGAGATGCTAAGGTCCAAGATGATGAGATCTGAGATGATGAGCATGATGAGCCGGATTCTCAACCTGAAGAACAACCCAGACACTCTACACAAGTGAGATGACCTTCTACAAGGTACCCACTAATGAATGCACCGTTGTTGCTAAAGATTGTGAACCTCGGAGTTATGATAAGGCTGTGATGAGCTCAAATAAGAAAGAATGGGAAAAGGCAATGCAAAAAGAGATGATGTCTCTGCACGAGAATCAGACTTATGAGCTGACCGAGCTGCCTAGAGGAAGACGAGCTCTGAAGAACAAGTGGGTTTATAAAATCAAGAATAAGAGAACGGCCAAAAGCCGAATTCAAAGCTCGGATTATGGTGAAAGGCTGCGGTCCGAACCGTGTTAGCCATGGCAGCATCAATGGACATAGAAGTGGAGCAAATGGATGTGAAGACAACATTTTTTCACGGTGACCTAGAAGAAGAAATTTATATGGAGCAACCCGAAGGGTTCTGAGATCCGGAAGAAGAAAACTTGATATCCCAGTTGAAGAAGAGTCTATATGGCTTGAAGCAAGGACATCAAAAGTGGTACAAGAAGTTTGAACTTTCAAGGCTGATCACAAGTTTGTGAAAACAGTGGCCGATACTGTGTATTTGTGAAAAGGTATGAGGCCAAAGATTTTCTGATTTTGTTGTTATATATTAACTACATGCTTATTGTAGGGAAAGACAAATCGAGGATATCCGCCTTGAAGAAGGCATTGAGCTCGTCCTTCGCAAAGAAGGACCTCGACCCTGCAAAGCAGATACCCAGAATCAAGATTATCCGAGATAAACAAAAGAAGCTACTGTGGCAGAGTCAAGAAAAATAAATTGAGAAGATTCTGAAGAGATATAGCATGGACAAAGCCAAAACAGTGAGCACCACCCTAGCCGGACACATAAAGTTGAACCATAAGCAATGTCCGAGATCTGATGAAGACAAATACAACATGTTGAAGATCCCGTACCAATCCGTTGTCTGAAGCTTGATGTATGTAATGGTTTGTACGAGACCCGACTTGGCATATGCTGTTAGAATGATAAGTTGGTATCTGTCAAACCTCGAAAAAGAACACTGAGAAGCAGTGAAGTGGATTTCAAGTATCTCAGAAGAACAACAAAGTTGTGCCTCAGATTTAAAGAAGGTAAAGCCAAGTTGCAAGTCTATACGGACGCTGATTTAGGAGGAGAGTCTAACTCAAGAAAGTCGACGACGGGATATATGATGACTTTTGCATAAGGAGTTATCTCCTGGAAATCAAGACTACAGAAGTGTGTGACACTTTCGACGACCAAGGCCGAGTATACAGTCGTGACTGAGGCAAGAAAAGAATTGTTATGAATGAAGAAGTTTCTCTCTGAACTTAGCCATGATCAAGACAAGTACCAGTTGAGATATGACAATCAAAGCACAATTCATCTTGCTAAGAATTTGACCTATCACTCCCGCATTAAGCACATTGATGTGAGGTATCACTGGATCCGGGATATGGTGAAAGGTGGAAAGCTCAAACTCGTCAAAGTGCACACTGACCTGAATTGGTCCTGCATGATGTCGAAGCCGGTACCAGCAAATTTTTTTTAAGATTACTGTGAAGGTGTGGGGTTACTGCTGAAGCCGGTGCATTGAAGTCGAAAGGGGGAGATTTGTCGAGCTTCATTCTTAATGCTAAGCCCAAAGCCCACAAGAGTCTAAGAAATCCTAAAACCCTAAACCTCCTTCTTCCCCTATAAATACATTAGTTGTGGGATGGAGGTAGGTTAGAGAAAAAGAAAAGGAAAAAGGTTGACTTGTGAGATTTGAGGGTTTTAAGTTAAAAACTCAAACCTTTGATTTTGAGAGCATCTTTAAGGAGAAGCTTGAGTATTATACCTCTTTAGGGAAGTTTGAGAGAAAACCATCATTGTAGATGAGGTTTGAGTGAATCATCATTGTTGGTGATGCTTGATCTTTTATAACCCATTATTTTCATAGTGGAAGTTTGATTCTGAACTAGTATCCCATGGGTTTTATTTACTTCTTCACATTGGGGAAGGTTTTCCCACGTTAAAATTTGTTGTGTTCTTTTCTCTCTCTCTCCTCTGTGTTTTTCATTTTTCCGTTGCGCTGGCCGACCTCTGATTGAAGAGCCGAGCTCCCAACTCGACGTTTGACTTCCACAAAGCTTCTTAGCCGAGTTTGAGGGAACCAAGTTCCCAACAACATGTGTATGCCTTGCAAGAACGGGTGAAAACAAATACGTAAACTATAAAGAACCAATTCAACCGAAAAACTTAAGTTATTGGGTGAAGCTATGTTAATTGTTTTATATTTATCTAACACGCTCCCTCACACAAGAGCCCATTAGACTTGAAGGGTAGATGGTTCATCAGGCTCAGCCTACCTGCAAAGAGTTCGACCCAATGCTTTATTTCTGTCCTAGTTGATCCCGATTCGACATTAGAAGTATATTGATTTTTCAACAATAACCTAATACTTTTGTCTGTAAATACTGCATATTTTATTCCATTCATAAATCTATTTTCTTCCCTATGAGTTCTAGTCTCAATCAGAATACTCGTTATTACTGTTCATATGTTATGATTTGAATATACCACACCAATTCGTTATGTATGGATGATGAGATTCCATTGATACAGAGCCAACCGTTCTTTTTTCTCTGACAGATGGTCAGAACGTCATCTGGGGTCGAATCCTACTGAGAGGTCCACTAGAGATCAGAAATTGTTGAAGAAAGAACAAGATGTTTCTTTTGTTCTTTCCAGGCGATCGGAATTAATAAGAAAGTCCAGAATAATTAACTATTTTTATTAAGAGAATGAGGGCATTGATGATTGAACTCGTAACCACTTGATCGCGGAGGCTATGATATCATGTAAAGCGTCAATTCAACCCAAAAGCTTAAGCTATTAGGTGAGGGTCTTTTACATGGTATCAGAGTTTCGGTGTCACAAATTCGATCCTCACCGCCCCCATTTAATTAATAAATAATTAAGTATTATGGAGCTTGTTAAGCATAGGTAAGTGGTCTGTGCATTGTCCACCCTTCAAGCCCAGGGCACTCTCGTGTAAAGGGACGTGTTAAAGATATATAAAATCATTAATATAACCTCATCCGATAGTTCTTTGAACATACCTTGGTCTCTCACATATCAAATCTCACACTATATATATATATATATTTTTTTTTTTTTACATTGCCAGCCCATGATGCAATAAAGAAAATGAGAGACACAAAGTAAATACATTTAACAGTTGCAGCACAAGTACTCTATACGTGTTCTGAAATCTTCAGGAACCTTTGACATCAGAAAATTCTATCAAGGCAACGCTGGAACACTTTGGAAAAGAGAGTATCTGCTCCTTAACTTTCTCCAAGTCAATATCTGAATAACGCAGCCAAAAAGCTGTAGATATAGTAATCCTCTCCAAGATTGCTGCATTTGTCATCACGAATTTTACCAGACAAAGCTCATGGTCATGCACATTAAATCCTTTAAACTGAAAAACTTTGAGGCTTGACATAAAGCAATGAGGCACTGATGCAGAAGTCAAGATATCTTTATTTAAGTCACATACTCCCTGAAATTTGTGTGTACAATGAGTCATCAATCATTTACAGTATTTTATATTATATCTAACAAACACATAAAACAAGCATTTTGAATTTTTTTGTGAAGTAAAGCAAGAGTATCTAAACTTACATTAAGTAAAACAAGAGTATTAAGATTTGGGGAATTGTGGAGTAACTTCAACAGAGCTTCACCAGTAGCCTCGTTTAGTTGCAGATGAGACAACCTTCCAAAAGCAGGTAGATGGGTGAAAATATCTTTAGCATGCATTATAACCTGTATGACAAGGAAGAAACTTGTTCAAATTCAGAGTCAAATTTTGTTTGTTTGGATGCAAGATAGCCAGAGCCAAAAAAATGGACTAGTAAAATTACTAGTAAAAAATCCATTAGTGAGGTTAAATGGTTTGGATGCTACATCAATCAGTTGTGCTAAAAAGATGAGCAGTGTTGTTTATAGTGAAACACAAAGGTCCACCACTTAAACTAATCCCACTTTTAACAAACTCTACTTTTAAGTTATTATTTTTATATTCACCATACACACACACACATTTACACACACTTTTAAGTTGTTATTTTTATATTCACCACACACCCACACACTCTTAAGTTATTAGAGAGATTGACGTGTTATCATTTTACGTTAAATCTTAATGGTTGATTTTTGTCAATTTAATTATTATCATTTATTGGTAATTAATAAATAAATTAATAAGTGCGACCCAATAAATTATAATCATTAGATTCACAAAAATCTACTGCTTAGATTTGGTGTCAAAAAATCTTATCACACACACACACATATATATATATATATTTGATAGTTTAAAATCAGGTTATATTCTATTATAAAATTTTTAAATAGAAAAACTAACACCCCAAATATTTTTACTTGTAGCATACCTCTTTTAGTAGTTAAAATGCATTTTCAGACACGCTCTCTTATTATAAAACATTTTATGTAAACAACCATATTTTTACCTGTTAGATGAGATTATATTAATGGTTTTTATATTTCTTTAACACATTTTCACATGTAAGAGCTCTTTGGACTTAAAATGTGGATATTGTACATGTACAATTTTTGTCTACCTTATGCTGCACAAGCACAAGTTTTTTTTTTTTTATCTTGCGCTTACTTAATTCTACCACAAAAAAGAGCGGTGAGAATCAAACTCGTGACCACTTATTTACTACGACTCTTATATCATATAAAGAATCATTTTAACTCAAAACCTTAAAACGTTAGGTGAGGCTATATTAATAATTTTTATATTTATTTAACATGTTATGCAACCACAGGAAAATGTACTCTTCCACATATCAAAATATTTATTCACATATTATGAAAACAAAGCATACCTTGTAACACAATAAATTCAATCGTTCCACTTCATGGATCTGTTTGAGAAGCATATGTGCTTGAAATCCAAGTTTTTCCATTCTGTTCTTTTTGTCTTCATCAATAACAATCACAACAGAAGCACTTCTAATTGATGATGGGTTTAATAGAATGATATCTTGTTCAAGATCACCCTCATAAGAGAAATCAGTTAGATGAGGACCAAAAATCTTGATGGAAGATTTACATGATTCATTTGACTGGGAGTTCCATATTGCTATGGAAAATGTTTCAAGTAGAGGTGCCTGTATACTAATATCCTGCATAGTTGACCACTCACATCCTCTAGCTTCAAACACTTTGAGAACTGGGAAGCTAAGAATTGTATCTTCTGAATAAGTGGAGGATTCACTCACTAACTTAATCCCAGAAATGCTAAGGTTTTGAAGATTTGGGAGAGAAGCAAAGATGGGAACACTAAGAGTGCATCTCATTTGAAGCACCAATTGTACTAGAGAACTGCAGTTAAAGAGGGAATGGGAAGAAAGGACGACTTTATCAGCATACTGAATACGAAGCTTATGGACACCCTTTTCCAAGATAGTAGAAATCCATGCACTAACCTGTGAGACATCATAATGATAACATGTTAAACAAAGAGAGAAACTTTGTATGCTTGAATCAACAAGGTGAAGAAGCACTCTGTTCACAAAATGCACAAATTGTTCTTGTTGCATCTTCTTCCCAGAACAAAGGAAACTATCATTAAACTGTAAACTGGTGATGGATTTCCAAACTTCAATCCACCTTCTTGATAATACACAAGTGCGTACTGCCTCTATAGTTGGAAGGAAACACAGGATGTGACCAAGAGTGCTTTCATGTAACTTGCTAATTATGTCTTCAACATCAACCAGAGTTTGCTCAGTATGAAACTTTTTTGATGTTTCATCATTCTGAGTTGCAATACTTGAATCCATGACTATGAAGTACCTAATGCACGATTTCTGACACTGCCAAATTTCATCAATCGATAATATTAAAAAGGAATAAAATAATTATAAATAAAAAAAGAAAGGAATAAAATAGATCTATGGTTAATATTAATATGTCATAATTTCAAGCATGCATCATTTAGTTAAAATATAAATTCTTCTACACAAAATGAGTATGAAGTATGTGCCAAAAAAGTATTGAAAGAAGAGTATACAATTTGAAGCAGATGAATAAGGAATTAAGACTCACCGGAATGTAGAAAGGTTAGAGCAGGCAACAGCAGCACCGGCTCTACGAAGTCAGAATAGAATCTTTGTGTTGGCTTTCCCAATTCATTCGTGAATCAGAATTCAAGGGCTAGAAGCGAGCGCTTCTAGCTGCTTCGCCTGCTTCTTCTTATTTATTGTGGCTATGTTGGCGTGGCGGAAATGAACGAAAAGCGAGATGAACGTGCAATTTTCAAATCGATTGATAGATAAAGTTCACACTTTTTGGACTGAAAAGAAAAAAAAAAAACCATAAAAGAGGGTCAATTGAGTCCAGCTTTATTCATATCATTAATAAGGAAAAATGAAATGTGGTAACTTTAGAAAATATATAGAAGGGCCCTTTATCCTACGTACTTACATCCTAAGGTGGAGGAAGTGACACGTTTACATCATTCGAGCCCATAGAGGTGGTTGGCACGAACCTGACAGGCTTAGAGCATGCACACAATGAATGCCGCAAACTTTCAGTTGGCTTGCACAACGAAGGGTAGCTAAGTGACTTACCTACCATTATTAAGTCAAAAGAAACAAATAATATGAATTTCTTGTGTAGAAGAAGGGATGAAAAAAAAATGCCACGTTTTGGGGGCCTTCTGATGCTACAGGCAAAAAGATATATTAATGTAAACTTAAAGATAAACTATTTAAATAATACATTTAAAATTATTTTTCAAAATAATACAATAAATAAGTTCATAGGATTGGCAATCTCATCTTGCAACTACTTGACTCTTTTTGGCCAAGTTCTTCGAAAAGAAAATAAAATTCAAACCTATAAAGGCTTGTATTTGAAAAACTTGAATTTTTTCCGGAATTTCAAACACTTCAGTATAAGGAGAGTAGGTATCTTAAAATTGAGTCCAAGTAATGTATATGAGTAAGATTGATTCAAAAATTAAAAGACTCATCAAAGAATTTGATGTCACTTATTAGAGTGTTTTTTCTTTGTTTCTGTGTTATTTGCTTTGTTGTTTTGGGCCGTTGCCCTTACAATAAAAAAATCAAGAGAGAGAGAAGAATACTATATTTAATGAACTGTAATTTTAAATTTGATTTCGACTATATTAGGAGCAAAACTCTTTTATTCAGTTTTAACACATTTACCATTTTTTTTTTTAACATAATTATATTTTCATAATCTCAAATTTGAGATCACAAATTAAAATTAAATAATCTTTTATTAATTGATTCACGTTCTTAATGATAAATATATTATTTTATATTCCGCACACAATAATCTCACACTTAAATAGTGCAGAGTACAAAAATATCCTGAAAAACCCAAAAAGCAAAATTATTATTACTCTTGGTATTAAATTCAATGTTTGTTGAACTATAAACTGGTTGGCACTTGACGCCTTTTCAATTACCATTTTGTATGATGAAAAACTGACCAAAAAAAGAAACTGATAAAAATACACACTTTTTTGTTGGGGACGTGGAAAAATTATAACCTAACAAACAAATTAGGTAAGGATAAGAGGTTGTTGAAAACCTCATGTTGAATATATAATTACACATGCATTTATAGCTTTAGATGTACTTTAAACGAAAATTCTTAAAATTATTTCACCGACAACTTCTTACCATCACATTAAATATACTTTTTTTTAAGGAAAAATATGTGTCATTTTAAATGACACACCTTACATCCTTTCATTCTCACAATTGATTCAAATTTCCTCTAAGGTCTAATTCCCTCTAAGGCTAAGGGTGTTCATCAACTGATCCAAATTGATTCAAGCTGTGGCGACCAAACTGAAAAATTGATAACTGATTAAGTTATACATTATTTTGATATATTAAAAAAAGAGTAAACACCATTTTTGGTCCCTGACAATATCTATGAAATCCTTTTTAGTCCCTGGAATAAAAAAGGACCAAATTGGTTCTTAACAGTATGTAAAAAGGACCAATTTGATCCTTTTTTATTGTCAGGGACTAAAAATGATTTCGTAGATATTGTCAGGGACCAAAAAAGATGTTTACTCTTAAAAAAATTTGTTATATAAACTTATACTATACTATGATCACACTAAATAATTAAAAATATTATAATATATAATATAAATTTATACTATCATACCTTATGCATTTTACCAAATAAGCCCTCAAGCACGAATGACAATTTCGTTCTCTTTTCTAATCTTCATTTTTTCTTAATTTAATGCCTCTACGTCATTGACAGCCTCGTATGTGTCAAACTTTAATGAAAATGATGAAACATATAGAAAAATTTGTTTGTTTCTGGAGAATAAATTCGTCTTTCGAAATATGTTTCTGCGATTTTTTATGAAATAATGTTATTTTCTTTTTCAACTAAACTGGAATATAAATTATTTTTCAATGGGGCACTGAGTTTTGCACTCTGCCGTACGGAATATATATATATATATATATATATATATATATATATATATATATATATATATATATATGAGTCAGGATCATTTTACACCAGTGTAAGTTACATTCCTAATCTTATCCGTTGATTCCACTTATATCTAAGGGCTAAGGGCTCTAATTTTTTAGTAATGTGAGCCATTGGATACAAGTGGATCAATAGTCAAGATAGATGTAAAACTTCTAACTCTTACACCGGTGTAAGAATGTCCTGCCCATATATATATATATATAGGGATAGGATCAACTTACACCGGTGTAAGAATAATAAATCTTACACCAAATCTTAGCCGTTGATTTTCTTGCATCTAACGGTTGAGATTTATTGGGAATTAAAAATTAATTAATGAGTGAGACCTAATAAATCTCAACCATCAGATACATAAAATAAATGGTTAAGATTTAGTATAAGACTTATTATTCTTACACCGGTGTAAGATGATCCTGGCCCATATATATATATAGGGGAAGAATATTGTAACAATCAAATTATGTTACTATCAATCAATTTCACTTTTAGATCAATTATGTTGATCCAACAGTTATATTTATTTCCATCTTTATATGGTTATGATTCCCCATATTTAAAGTGAAAGTATTAAATATGAGAAATCATAACCATACAAATGTGAAAATAAATATAAAATATTAAATTTAAAAAATCATGATAATGCAAAGATGGAAATAGATATAACCGTTGGATCAACATAATCAATTTAACAATTAGATTGATTGATAGTAATTTAATAGGAACATAATTTGATTATTATAATATCTTTTCTCATATATATATATATATATATATATATGTATATATATAGAAAGCCACTGTTTGACATGAACTTAAAATTATTTTTCAATGCGGCGTTGAGTTTTGCACTCTGCCGTACGGAATAATATATAGAGAGACTGTTTCACATGAACTTTAAATTATTTTTCAATGGGGTATTGAGTTTTGCACTCTGCCGTACGGAATAAATTTTATTTTTATTTTTAATGAATACAGCGTGCGTGAGGGAGTAGCGAATATTTAGGGAACCGCCTCTTGTGGGGGCGCGTGGAGAGAGGAGAGAGGAGAAAGGTACTATGCAATTAAATTCTGTGAGAGAGGCTGTGTTCACGGCACTTTGCGAATTTTTAAAATAGCTTCTTCTTTTTTCAAAACCTATATTGAATATAAATTTCTGTGAGGGAGGCTGTGTTCACGGCACTCTGCGAATTTCAAAACCTATTTTGAAATAAATAGATTCTCACCGTTAATTTCTGTCAATAAATATTATAATTTATTGTAAATTATTAATTAATTAAAATTATATGACCAAATAAATTATAATTAATTGACGAAAATCAGCGATTAAAATCTAAAATGACATAAAATTATATCTTTTAAAAGGAGAAATGTTATTCTCAAATTTTAAAAACTGATATTGAGAGTAGAAAAATAATAAGACTTGTTCAGGTGTAGTTAAATTTAAAATTATAAAGAAATTATAGTTATTTACAAAAATATCATTAATAAAGCTTCATAATTACAAGGTTGGCAAAAAAATTAAAATATTATAAAAAATTATGAATTTGTAGCAATTTGAAATCTATTTATAAATGTATAGCAATTAAGGGTTTAAATAGGCTAGGTTGGACTAGATTTTGGCTTAAATAAGCTAAGTCTATGTAAAATACTTTAGGCATGTTCTGGTCTATTAGCTTGTGTAGGTCCAAATTATAAGTCTGGTCTAGTCTATATTTAAAAAAATAAAAATATCGACATAGGTCTGTTAGTCTATTTAAGCTATTAGATATTCAATAATTTAAAAAATAATTAAAATAATATTACTTTATTATTAAAAATTATTAAATTAATAATTTATTTGTTTTATTTAAAATAAATAATATGATATAGGTCGATCTGTAAGCTTATAGGCCCGACATGTAAAAGAAAACTTATGGCCTACTTTCTAATTAGGCTTTTTTTAAGCCTGTTGATGTTCTATTTGACTACTTTTTAATATGTTGAGCCTAACTTGATGTACGCCGAGTCATAGGTCCTATTAGGCCAACTGACTCATTTACACCCTTAATAGCAACTAGTTGTGCTCAGAATTGAGCACAACCGTGCCTAAATCCAGGCACCAATGAGGTTGAGTCTCACTCAAATTTGGGCACAACTCACACGATGATGACATGTAGTACAAAATTTTCAACATGATCGATCGCGCTCAAATCTAGGCACAACTGCATTCAAAATTTATGTGCGACTCATCTGAAAATGACACGTGATACAAACTTTCAGAAGGCCATAACTTTTTGTTTATGTGATTTTTTTTATTCTACGTAAATTTTTGAGATCAACACGCTAACAAATTCAAGTAATTGTGTAATCACAAAAATACACAAAGTATCCGTAATCCATCAATCCTACATATAATGTAGAGTTACTAATAGTACACAAAATTTTGGGTTACAAATGCCTACTTTCTGAAAAGTGAAAAAAAGAGTAAGAATTAAATAATATTCATAAAGATAAATGTGTCAAACGGGACCTAGGGAAACAAATATTTGAAAAAAAAAATTGACCAACAAAAATTACAAGAGACAGCACTAATCTCAATCTAACCATTACTGGTTGTAGAATATGACCGCCACCTTCCTGTTGGAAGCAGTAATTTGATTGGAATCAAATGATCAAAGTGTTTAAAGTTTGTTATGTTAGTAGGGGATACAATTATCTTCTATATATATATAAAAATGTGTAGGGCTTAAATTTTTTCTTTCGTTCTTTTTTTTTTTCTCACATGATTTTCACATACTTATACGGGGCAAGATCATCTTACACCGGTGTAAGAATGATA